CAGAAACAAAGAGATTAATTTAACCAAAGGAAAAGTTCTTACTTAAACCTGAATGCATGCAGCCAGTTTATAGACACATACCACATACACAAAAATATTCAAAGTTTCAATTGAGTTAGTTTTACCTTTCTGAATTCTTTGTCGCTCATTTTGCCTTTATCCATCAACTAAAAATTTGTATGTAAAATAATTTTTCAAACTTAAGACTTGGTAAAACACATTAAATAATCTCCAAAAGAAATTATGAAATAGAAGTAAATAAAATAAAAGGCAAATTCTTCTTAGAACATGCTGCTATGAAAAATATTTTAAATTAGCTTGTAGTTGGAGGTTGTTTTAATCTTGTTGCAGGAAGGTAAATTGCCAAGTACAGCCTGCCAATACCTAAAAAACAAAAATAAAAAATTACTACTGTCCTATTAATGTATTATTCATGTTCTATTTTCATTCAATTTGTAAATTCTAATTTATAAATCTACACTCATTGTAATTTGTATAGCTTGTTAAACCGCCTAGCTTTAGATATTTTGTTGTGGATTAAATAGCTAACTTTAAGCTTAACTCGATCTTATATAATAACTTAAACTTAAACCATTATATAAACTTAACTTAAACCAATAGTACTATTATAAAAACCAACACCTTAATTTATTCAAAATAAATAAAAATTATAACATTAAGAAAGGTGTCATCTTACTGAAATTTTCATAACAGGTAATAAATTTATCAAAAGTAATAGAAATAAATTCATGAATTTATTTCTATTAGTTTCAATTTTCAAAAAATCTTTTTCATGAAGTTAATATTAAAATATCTTGAAATGATGTAAATAAAATCTAAATCTAAAAAAATATGTTAACTATTATGAAAAAAAAATAATTTCTGAAATCAAGATATAATCAAGATACAAAAGAATTTACAGAAATGAAATGAAACTATCATTGTCATCAGCAAAAAATTTGTTGCTTATACATTCTTTTTTAATATTTTTCAGTTCAAGTTTTTAAATAAAAAGCTATACAACTGATCAAATTGGTAATGCCACATCGCTTGCATTACCAATTTTGCAAGTCATTATATCTGTGGTACCTATTTTGAAATTCACAATACTTGCTTGGATCATGGTTTTACTAGGTAACCTTAACCCAAACATATTAGGGTTTTTAATAAACTGATACCTTGTGTCAGATTACTATAACCTCATACAAAGTATATCTGATACCTTGTATTAGATATTTATCAACTTTAAAAAACAAACTACAAATTATTTTTGTTTTTGAACATGCAACATATAAATGGATATTATTAAATATAAATAAGAGAAACACAGTTTTTTAAGATATAACATTTGAATGAAAAATTATTAATAAAAAACATTTGAATCTGTAAAATTAGAAAATTTGTGAACACTTTAGTTCGTTACTTACATAATGTAACATTATATTCAAATAGTCTGTTTGAATATACTAATTATAATTCCTAGCATATTTTTTTTTGTAGCTGCTTATACTTTTTATTCACAGTAGTACCAGTCTTTACATTCCTAAAAGACTTTCAATAATAAAACTGTTGTAGTTAATAATAAACTTCAATAATAAAAATATTTATCAATTTAATAATAACTAAATAATAAGTTAATAATATTTAACCAAGTAAAAAAATTTATCCGCAAAAATATTTAGCGAAGTTACAATACAAAAAAAAATACAAAAAAAATCCAGAATAAAATCCAGACAATTTTAAAATTTAATGAACATAACTTTGAAATTCATGAATACGAAATAAAACATAAAAAAAAAATACAAAACAAATTTATTTGAGGATAATACAATTATTGTGTTATCCTAATAACACAATAATGTAGAGTAAACATAAACTTACTTCATAAAATGATTTGATTGCATTTCTAGTTTAAACATAGACAACACTGATGTGTAGCTAGTTACACATTGCAAGTTCAGATATTTGTCAACTTTTTTTATACTGTTTTATATATATATACATACATATATATATATACATACATATATATATATATATATATATATATATATATATATATATATATATATATATATATATATATATATATATATATATATATATATATATATATATATATATATATATATATATATATATATATATATATATATATATATATATATATATATATATATATATATATATATATATATATATATATACTATTTATACCTACTAATAAATATTATTTTTACAAAATATATTTTATCAACTATAAAATTAAAAAAAAAAACTTTTTTTTTAATTTCATAGTTGGTTTTTTTAATTAAGTAATTATTATTATTTTTAATGGCTGCCAATTTCTGAAAATTAGTCAAAAAGTAAAATAGAAACATGAGAGATAAACTTATATTTATCTTTTACTTCATTTATAAAAAATTTACACAAATGGTCCTTAGTGTGTTAGGTTTATATTTAGTTAGAGATTTTAAAGTTAATTTATTATTTTAGGGTATAAGACTTTTTGAAATATCAAAAATGTTAAATTTTACAAGAAAAATTAAGATATCTCAAGATATATTTATTAACTTTCAAAATCTCTAGCTAAAAAGAAAGATATTAATGCAAGTATCAATTTCAAATGTAAAGCTGTGTCTACAAAAGAGGTAACATAGTGGTTTATTCTTTTCGTAGACTTACTTACTATGATTTGAATAATACGAAGAATATGCAAGAATACATATTCCATGAACAAAAAATAAATTTATATTTCAACATATTAACACATTAATACATTCAATTTTTGACCAATTAAGTCTTTTTGACCAATTAAACCTTAGTTACTTTACTGTATATTTTAGTGAACCAAACGTAAAAATATTCCAGTCTACAAGCTATTTAGTTTTAATAGTTTCGCAAACAATTCTTGCTGAAAGATTAGTTTTGGGTTCAGAATCGGTATAACTGAATTCAACATCACCAGAAAAACCAACCATATTTGATACTCTATTTTAATTATCACTTGAATATATATTCACTTTACAGAGATATAATTCTTTTAAATGATTTTTGTTTGTTTTCCAGTGACGAAAGATCTTCAGGTAATAGTTCATCTAATGAACTTGAAAACATGTCAGAGCAAACAGTACTAGAGATATAATTATTATCACATATAATATATGTGATAATAGATATATCTCTAGTACTGGAGATATATCTATTATCACATATATTACATGTGATAATAATTATATCTCTAGTATATGTTGGCATATGTAATATGCCGATATATACTAGAGATATAATTATTATTGCAGAATAATGAATATTGTTTGGCTATAGCATTATTTTATATATGTTAACATATCAGTGCAAACTGTACTTACAGTTTCCAATGATATGTTGATACACGTAATAGTGCAACTTCTTTACATATATATCATATATATCTAATGGAGGTATATCTGCATAGAAATACCTCCATTACAGTTTGCACTGATATGTTGGTATATATAATAATACTTTAGCAGAACAATAAATACTGTTCAGCTAAATTATTATCATGTATATCAACATATCAGTGGAAACTGTCAGTGCAGTTTGCGCTAATATGTAGCTACAACAACAACAATATATTTACTTAATGTATAAATAGATTTATTTTATCTATACTTTTGGGGTTTTTTTTGTATTTATTTTCTATTATTACATATATTATGTGATAATAGATATATTACCGTTACATTTTACACTGATGAGTTGTAAATGATAGCATCATTTAATAATAGCATTTGATAACAGTGATAGTGCTGTAACTAAAACGATAACTTTTCTTATCACTTAATATTATATAAATGAACTTGATAATACATAACATAATAATATAATATTAATTATGTATTATATTATATAACATTATATTAATGAAAAATGCTATATCAAATGAGTCGATCTTTATTAAAGAGATATTGTTCTGCTAAAACATTTTACATATATCACAAAAGCTATATGAAGACTATTCATGTAGCTTCTCGTATATACCTGAATATTCGTGACAGAATATAGTTATAGAATATAAGTTTTTATTAAAACATGATAATAGTTTTAGAAATTTTTAAAAGTTGCATAAATGAAATCACGACTTTTCACTATAACAACTGGCTGGGAACAACAGTTGCTTCATTTGCATGCTGATTCAATTGTCAAGTGTGTTTGCAGGAAAATCCCTTAGTTTTCCCAACAAAATCAAGTGTCAGATTTTTTGTTGAAAATGAAATAACACCATCATTCAGCATCATTTGCTTACAATTGTACATTGTAGAATGTGACTAAATTGATAGCCAGTGTGTTCTCACAAGTGCACGCACTGTGTAAAAACTTGGGACACAAGCATGTTATAGATAATCTAATATATTTTTTAGTTAGTAAATTTTTTCATTTCTAGTGTTTTATTTTAATTGCTGCATCTGGTTCATCTTCTGTAGTCAGCAATTATTTTGCAGTATATGAGTTTTAGCAGTTTTACCAGCAAATTGTTGGTATAACATGGTTTTTTGGTGAGAGAACTTGTTTTGGGGGAAAAAAATTTTCACTTGTACTTGTCAGATGCACTTTTTACTTTTCCATTTTGTTTCCTCCTTTAAAACTGATCTTATTTTTAATAAAACAATTTCCCAAATAAACTAACAACTTTGTTTTTAAGTTTTGCAATTCCAAAAAAGTCCAGCCCTCAAAGTAGGTTTGTTTGAGTAAAAGTTCGATTTTGAATTAGAGTTCAGTTTTAAATAAAATGAATGTTAAACTTTTTTATTTTTTTTTTAATTGAAAAATTCTTTGTCTTTTAACTTAACCGTCATTGCTGAAATTTTTTACAATTTTTAAATTTTTAAACTGATGAGTAACCTAATTAATTTCCAATTATATTTAATTTCCATATAACTGTTTAATTAATGCCATATATAATTCTTTCAATCTTATTGTTATAATTTTTTTTTGTACATGAACTAATATTTTAGACGGAAACTATCATGTGCATGTTGGAATTTAGCTTTTGGTCGGACAACTGTTTACCAAGTTTTGATCTAATTTTACAGTTGATTAGTGAAGTGATAAAATCACAACAATGTCTAGGAAATGATATCATTGCTGTTGTTTGCAAGTAATATTATTATTATTTGATGTTTTCACATATTTTTGTTAAATTTTACATACATTTAAAATAAATAAAGTTTAATATAACTAAGTCGTTTTTTTGGCTTTTTTAATTTCTATAGAAACGGTGTAAATCGCTCCGGTACTTTTATTTCATGTATCAACGCAATTGAACAATCTCAAATAGAAGAGCTGGTTGATGTATTTCAAGTTGTGCGAAGAGCTCAATTATCACAGCCTCTGTTTGTTCAAACTTTGGTAATAATTTGTTGACTACTTTACAAGACTACTTTTAGAGAATTCTCTTCTTTTTTTATTGCCTAACATTTATTTGGTATTTCAGGTAATGAATATTCTGAGGTATTAATTAAATTTTGTTTTCAGCTTCAATATGAATTTGTTTACAAATTGGTGAAACATTATTTGGAGACTTTTTCTTCTTATTCAAATTTTAAATGAACTCAAATGGAAAAGGAAATTTTATTTACGTTTTTAGTTATATAGAAGATATCTCTATTTTTATATTTATACATTATTTTATTAAAAGTTTATTTTTATTTTTTTATTTTTATAAAGAAAATGTTTTATTTTTTAATATATACTTTTATGTTGTGCTAATTGTTTAAAAAAATTTTTCATATATAATTTTATGTTGTGTTAATTGTTTTAAGATAATATTTTAATATTACATTATTTAGCGTTTTTCGAATTATTAAGCTTTTTTATGTTTCGGAATAAAAAAAAAAATTTCATTTATATTTTTATATTAACTTTTAAATATATGTATTTTTTACTAATAAATTTTTATTGAAGTGTTTTTTTTATAAGAAAATAAAATAAAGTTTCAAAGTAAAATAAGGTTTTAATTAAATGCAACATTTACTTTTCTTATGCTCACCATTGATTTGAAAGCAGAGAACTTTGTGACTTTAAATCATAGGTGAATCAAAGATTCGTCACACTACTCTTGTCTTTTTTTATATCACCATTAACATCTTTGTGTCAAAAGACTCATTTTGTCATAAGAGTTGACTAATTTTGACATATTTCCTGAACACCGAATGACATCAATGTTGCAGACGCAATGCTAGAGTTTAATTGCAAGGGAACGAAAGTATTTTAAAAAAGCGCCATGTAAAAAATGCCGAGCGGAACCATGTCTTTTACAAATTCTTTCATTAAATTTGAAGTTAAATGTAATAAGTTTACGTTATCAATTTACAGTAAAACATTGCGTAAAACTTAAAATAAAAAGCGCTGAATAACTTAAAATAAAAAGCGCTGAGCAGTGGAGTACTTCAATCTTAAAGTCGATCAAAAATCGAGAAAATTTAATTTTAAATGTTATGAGTTAATAATTTAAATAATAGTCTTGTAAAAGTATACAATACATTATAAAAGTTTAAATAACAATATTTTGAGTTTTGCCCATCCTTCCAGAAGTTAGAACTCAAGCTTTGCGTATGCTGTTATTATTTTTTCTCGACGCTTCCGGTCAAAATCAACTTTTGAAAGTAGTGAGTTTGTATGCTGTAAAATCTTTAACTAATTATGATGGGTGCTGAAGAAGAAGGCATATACATATAAAATGAATATATACTTCAAAATTGATCAAAATTATTAGAAAATGTACTGAAAATAAAAAAAGTTCACTTTAAAAATGCACATGGCCTACTTAAAGTATACGGCCCAGTATTCTGTATTTTAGCCAAAAAAAAACTTTTGAATAAAAGTGTAGTGATCTATATAAATTAAAAGTTTTATTGAAATAAAATAATAAGAAAAAAGATGTATTAGACATAATGATTAACAAATGTTATGTTGTTGGATATTATTCAAACTATTGAAAACAAAAGGTGGTGCCAGTTTTTTTCATTTCCAGTAAATGAAGATTTAAGATCCAAATGAATAAAGTTTGTTAATCGATTATTTGTGCAAAATATTTTAAAGAAAAATATTTAAAACATGGAAAGCAGGCGAAAAGATTTCGTTTAATAAAAAGTTAAAACCGATACCAACTATACACTCAAGTCTTATAGCAAAATCTTTACAAACAATAATGGTGAAAAGATAATTTCCAACAAAACGTAATTACCAAAATGATCAAAGTAGCGAATATTTTAAAAATGATTTAATACAAGACTTGAATTGTGTTGCTGGTATTCCATGCCCAAATGTTAAAACATAATGATCATATTTTATTTTACAAAATGTTTTTTAATGAGCTTTCCTTACCAGAAGTTATTCAGTGTATCCGAGTTGATAGCTTACATGTAAAACTATTGGATGATAGATGATAGCTTACATGTAAAACTATTTTACAAGGATTGTTCAGTACCGTTATCTCAGTGGTTTCGTATTGGTCATAATTGTACCTTTACTCAAATACCAACCATAACTATCACTTAAGCAGAGTAAAATCACAAGTGTCAAAATACTCAATTATTAGCCAAGGCCCGTCATTATGGAATCAAAAATAACAATATAAAAAATTTGAAAAGCACTTTCTCTTTTAAACGACAAATGAAATTACATCTCCTTAATTTTTGAAATACATGTAAGTATGTTTGTATATGTGTGTGTATATGTGTTATGTATTTAAGAGTATATATGCATATATTAGTTGTATATGTGTGTGTGTTTATGTGTATATGTATATAAGAGTATATTAGCATATATTCTTCACGTAGTATTTTTCAGAAAAAATATTTTATTGTAAATTTACTAAAGCCATGTGGGCTTTAAATGTTATTTTAAAAGGGCTCCATGAAAAGATTGTGGTGACACCAGTCATCCGTAACTTCTTTGAGCCATAGTCTGTTTTATATATATTCTTTGTGTAACGTAAAAGTTTCATTGTGATTTTATTATTAAAAAAACCTGCGTCACGAATCTGCTTGAGGCCATGGACTTTCTGACCTACAACGTTTCTCGCAAGCTTCCTGTAGATGTTCTTTTTCTTGACTTTGCCAAAGCTTTCGATAAAGTCCCTCACAGAAGATTACTTCAAAAACTTGAATCCTACGGAATCGAAGGTAACGTTCTTAACTGGATAAAAGCTTTCCTTTTAAATAGATCACAGCGTGTCATATTAGGTAATACGTCATCCACCTGGGTAAAGGTTACCAGTGGCGTTCCGCAAGGTTCAGTGCTAGGTCCTACGCTGTTTGAAATATTTATTAATGACTTACCCGAACACATCAATAGCAAAAACTTATGTAAAATGTATGCAGACGATACTAAAATCCTGAGTGTTGTCAAAACCACTGAAGACAAAGCTCGTCTGCAATCCGATATAGATAGCGTTGTTACCTGGACTCGAACCTGGTTAATGGAACTCAACATCAAGAAATGAAAAGTCATGCATTTCAGTAAGTACAATGTTTCCCCACACATTTATTTAATGAACGAGTACGACGCTAACGTACTCGTTCATTAAATGAACGAGTACGTTATTGAGAGTTACTGTTCTAGTGACGCTAACTGTAGCGTCACTAGAACAGTAATCGAGTCTTCAACATCCGAAAAAGATCTAGGCGTTCAAATTTCCAACGACTTAAAATACGAGAGGCAAGCACAAATAGCCGCTTCCAAGGCTAATAAAGTCCTCGGGACATTGAAAAACACGTTTATAAGCAGAGATACCAAAATATGGAAAAAACTTTACACCACTTATATACGCCCACATCTCGAGTTTGCAGTTACTGCCTGGTGCCCGCATCTTGAAAAAGACATAAATGTCATAAAACGTGTTCAGCATCGGGTTACCAAAGTACCGCACGAAATAAAGCGCTTCGATTACAAGACAAGATGCATCAAACTCGGTCTCACCTCTCTATTAAATAGACGTTTACGCGGCGACCTCATTCAAAAATATAAATTCGAAAACAGTATCGACTCAATTAGCTGGCATATAGATCCACCTAACATCCCACCTAGCTACGGTCATCGCAAGCGTTTTCATCGTGAAATGGACAACAACTGCCTCGTTCGCTATAATTCCTTCAACAACCGCGTCGCTCACCCATGGAACGCATTACTTAACGTAGTAGTCAGTGCTACCAGTGTCGATCGCTTCAAAGCAAAATTCGATCAGCTTTAATAATTACTACAGCGCATCATCTTCCGTGCACTTTCGCACGAGCTAGCACGGCTAGCTGTTGATGGGCTTACGGAGCACGCCCGCTCCGTGTAATTTAACTTTAACTAACTATTTTATTTTTATATTAACTGCGAAATATATTTGAAAATATATGTGTGTGTGAGTGTATATATATATATATATATATATATATATATATATATATATATATATATATATATATATATATATATATATATATATATATATATATATATATATATATATATATATATATGTGTGTTTTTGGATTTTTTGAACTTGATGATCTGTGACAAAATCATCAAGTCCAAAAAGACTTGATTTTGTCACAGAGCGCCGCGGAAATGCATTTATCTAGGAAGTTCACGCCTCCTTTCTTACCGTTACGCAAAAATATGTCCAAAGTTCGTTTTGAATCTGGATCTCGTGCTTCTAAAGCAAGCTCTTTGAACTCTGCGCCACGGCCGCACATTAAGTTATTTACTTCAATCTAAATCATTTCTTTTCTCTAGACTTTAATTCTGGTTATAAACAAACCATTGTCTTCCTCTAACTTCAATATATCTGTTTGACTGCGCAAATAAAAGCACATCATCACGTTTCATTTCACGTTTGATTATGGAGTCGTCCATAAATTACGTAACGCAAACTTTTACAATAAAAAAACAAAAAAGATAAAAAGTTTTCCCTGACAGAGTCTTATTTAAAAAAAAAATCAAACTGCCCATTAAGTTTAATGAAAATTGCCGCATAAAAAAGCTAAATCTCCTATTTCTGTTTTTTTAAACATATTTTGCGTTGCGTAATTTATAGACAATCCTTATTACAAAATTTCCGCTCGGAAAAATTATTACTGTTTTACTGCCATCAAAAAGCCTTTGAAAACAAAATCGCAAAGTATTTTCACACTTAGGTGTTCGTCGTTAAAAGAGATGACAAGTTGAATGATTTTCAAGCTGACTATCTTAATCAAATTATGGAATAAAGATAGAATAAAGTATCGATATTTTTTAGGTTGTAGAAAACTAGAAAAGTTGTGTCTAATAATTTTAACCACTACTTTTTTAAGTATTCTTCTTTAAGTTAAAAGGCAATTTACGTTAACCTTCATATTATTGTAAATTTTTTTTTTTCATTTGGTACAACTTTTGCTAGGTAATTTTCAGTTCAACCAACATTTTTTAAAAAACAGTTTGTTTGAAATGAATTACTATAAAAATTTGGACTGGCATTAAACTACCTGAGTACTAAAATCTATTACTTCAAAATGCATCGTCATTTTCATACCGACTTTACAAAATCAAAATGCTAGGGTTTCATTACCGACTTTACAAAATCAAAATGCAAATATTTATAATAAAAAAGCTATAATAAGTTACGATTCATCTGTTTTTCACGTAAAGTGAAAAAACGTAAATCTTTTTACACTTAACTTTTACACTTAACTGTACAAAAATGAAGCACGACAATCCTTTGAAAGATGTACTAATCGTTCACCCAAGTTTAACAAATATGTTTGGAAATGTAAAAAAAAAAAAATAATAATAATAAACAAATACTTTTTTGATGTAAAAAATTTCTGCACGAATTATCGAGAGCATCATATTTCGTGGATAATGCCCGAAATTTAATTTACACAGAATTAAATTACGTGCATTATTTTATTTTTACCTAACAA